TCCCTGCACCCTCGCCGTCTGTGCTGGGTGATGGGGTGGCTGCGGAGCCTCCTGCTGTGTGTGGTCCGGTTTCACCCTGTGGTAGAGGCTGCTGCCGTTCTGCGTCGGGCGTCGGTTCGTCCGGCTGGTGGTGCCCATGTTTCTGGGTCTGCTTCCGGCTCTGACGATATCCGGCCGGAGCCCAAACGTTCCAGGCATTCGTCTACGGCCTGGGTTGATGTTGGGGACTTCAGTGACTGTGGGTCTTCAAGTATTGACGGCGTGGATCCGGCTGAGCCGTTGTCTCCGCGGGTGGTGGTGGCGGAGGTTCATGTGCCTGCTGGTGCTGATGACCGTGTCTCAGGTGTGTCTCCTGTTTCTTCTCCGCCCGGGGGCTCATCGCTGTGGGGTGTGACTTCCGCTGCCAGGGATGGTGAGGATGCTGGTGTTGGGCATAGCCTGGTGGTGACTTTACATAAGGATTCGCGCCGCCATAATTCCCTGCAGTCGTCTGGTGGTGTGCCCGTGGCCGCTGATGCCCCTGTGGTGATGCCCTCTGTCGAGCCCCCTCCTGCGGTGTTGTGCTTTGAGGACCTGGAGGCCCGGGTTGCCGAGTTCATGCTGCTTGGATGGTCGGAGGATTTTTCTGATGGACGGGTTCCGGGTGTATGGGATAGGGTGGCGGTTACTCGCGTCCGGAGGGACACCGTGTGGGTTCCATGTCTGAGGGTGTTTGTTGCCGGGGTTCCGGTTTGGATGGCGCCCCCGGTGTTGGGTCAAGCCTCCTGGAAGACGTGGCTGCTTTGGGAGGCGTTCAATGTGTGGTTCCCGCAGGACAGGTTCACAGGCAAATGTGTACACTTAGCGTAGTTGTTGTTTTTGTTGTTATTCATGGCTTGTTGTGTGCTGTGCGAATTGTCTTTTTTTTTTTTCCTGTGTTTCATTTTGTTTCTGTTCATTGTTGTGTTTTTGTTGTCGGCCCTTCTGGCCGATATTTAGTGTCTTTGTATAAATTTGTATTGATTTGTTTTGTGCTGAAATGTCTTATGTTTCTTGATGTACTTTCTGTTGTGTTTTATTCTCGGTCCTTCAGGCCAGTGCTTCTATGTTGTTGTGTTTGTTCCTGTTTTGTTTTCAGGTTTGCGTGTTTTGCTTGTTTATTTTTATTGCTTATTTTGGCCTCGCCCTTTGTTTATTACGGGGCGGATGGCTTGGTGTTTGTGATTTTATTCCTATATTGTTTCTGTGCTGTACGTTTGACCTGGTGTTATCATATTGCTTTACCTGTTGTACGTGTTTGTTCTTTGTTTTGTTTGTCCTGTTATGTTTCCTGTTATGCCTCTTGATGTATGTTTTGTTTTATGTTTTGTGATGTTACTGTGATTGCTAGTTTGCCATTATGTTATGTTTTGTGCCTTGATGTATGCTGTATTTTACTTTGCATTTATCGTGTTTGTGTTTTGTTGTGCTATGCTGTCGGCCCTTCTGACCGGTGGTCTATTGTTTTCTTTTGTTCTGTTATGTATTCTGTATTGTTTTTATTGTATTTAAATTGCATGCTTTGCATGTAAAAAAAAAAAAAAAAAAAAAAAAAAAAAAGTGCGAAGTACTCAGCAAAACAGTGTTGTGTACTGAGCCCAGGCATAAATCCAAACAGTTGGGGTGACAGGTGCCCCTGTATACGATACATGAGTCGGTTAAGAACAATACGTTCAAGCACTTTACAAACACACGATGTTAGAGATATGGGTCTATAATTATCTGAGTGTGGTTTGGGGATGGGAACAATGACACTCTTTGTCCAAGCATCAGGTAATACTCCTTCACTTAAACTCATTCTGAATAACACTAATTGTGGATTACCTGGTACGTGTGAGACTAATCTCAGTAGACTGTAAGTAATACCGTCCTCTCCAGAAGCAGTCGATTTGCCCAACTTTAGTGCATGATATAATTCCCAATCAGCTACATCATTAAGGTCCGACACGTCGATAGCTGTACAGGCAAGATTGATGGTTCGTTGTCTGTTGGGGCGTGTGTCATCAAGTTTGTGCTGTATGTTAATTGGGAGTGAGTCGTAGCTCGATGTTAGTGCCCATTGATCAAGGAGAATGTTTGCTTGTTCTAGTGGGCTGTGGTGCAGCGGTTTGGTTGGGCTGCTTCTAGAGATTTTTCGTATCTTTTCCCAAACTTCAACAAGTGTTGTTTGCTCATTTATACTTTGTAGGAACTCTTCCCAATGTTTATTACGTATAACGTTGCTCATGTCTCTCACCTCTCTATTTGCAACTAGAAATGCATGCAAGTCACCTTGTGCTTTGGTTCGTTTGTACGTATCTCCAAGTTGCTTTACTCGTTCATGTTCTTTAACAAATACGGGGTCAAGGACCCACTTGGGTGGTGGTAGGTGTTGCCCACTTCTGCTAGGCTTACGACCTGTTCCCCAACACACCCATGTGTCGTAGTAGGTAGTAATCGTATCAACGAGATCTCTGTAGAAGGCTTCTACATTCGTTATTGTGTAATCTTGATACCATTTTGATATACAATTAATAAAGTGGTCATGCAAGCCATATGGAATATTCATTTTCCGTCTCTGATGTCTATTAGGTACATCACACTGTACCTCATAGGAAGCAGAAACTGCATAGTGATCACTAACCAAGTGATTTACCAACGAACATTCCATCCTATCTTGCACAAGGTTTCTACCCATTACATAATCAAGTCTGCCTCCCAATAAATGAGTTTGGGTATCCGTAGTATACACGGTTAATCTGTTGTCATATACATATTTGATAAATTTGCATCCATTATCGTTGTTAGTACTGTCTCCCAGCGTAATGTGTCTAGCATTAAAATCTCCCATGTATATTGTCCCATGATTGTCTAGATCTGGGAGCAATGCTACATTGAGTTTCTGGCTTCTGGCATATACATTGAGGAATGAAAAGTGGCCTGCTGTAGTTTGTACATGAAAGTGATGGTACTGTGTGTGTACATTGTGTGACGTGCTCACAAGAATGTGCGGTAAATCACTTCTGACGTAAGTTAGTAGGCCTGTGGCGTTACTGTTATTATAGGATGCATACCCTCTGATTTTTGGTGGGGTTTTGTTTATCATGTTGGACGTGTAGGGCTCCTGTAAAGCAATTATATCTATGTTGTTACTGGTAACATATGCAATTAGGTCACTCAGTCTTTTGTTGATGCTACGAATGTTCCAACTGAGAAACCTAATGGTTCTTGTGTCAACAGCAGCCATCGTCTTGGTGTTGTTCCTCCCTGGGACTGGTGGTCCCATTGTTGTCCTTGTCCCACTTGCACAATGTGTCAATAAGTGACTCTACGACGTAAAGAGCCACACCAACCTGGCGTTTGGTGTCGTCAGGAACTTCTGGTGACATCAGCAGTTTCTTGATCACTGAATAACTCGGGATGGTCCGCGAGTGAATGTTCTCTGTAAGTCGTTTGGCATAATTACTGTCACTCAGAGTATTATCTTTTTCATTCTTGTACTTGGCTTGAGCGCGTTCGTTAAGGTCATGAATCATTTTAAAATATGCTGATGCAGATCGACTTCCTTTTCCAGTTAATGTTTCTGTGTCACTATCACTGCTGTCATCCCTGAGTTGACTGGCGACGTCGCTGCCACCGCCTCCGTTGTCGCTCTCCTCTCTGCTGCCGCCGCTGCTGCCGCCGCTGCCGCTGCTGCCGCTGCCGCCACCACCGCAGGTACCTTTACCAGCGCGGGCCACGGCTGTGACACAGCTGCATGGAGGCTGCTGTATCTCTTGTGGAGGAGCCCGACGTAGCGTCTGTATAATTTCAGTCAGTTCTGCTACCTATGCTTGCAAGGTTGCCAACTGTCCTTTAACTGTTGTATCAGGCTGTTGTGTGTTGTCAGGGGCGTTGCTGGTACTGTCACCACTATGGGATGGGTCAACAGTACTAGAGCCGGCATCAGTAGACACTTGTTGTGTCTCGGGCACTTGCCTCCTTGTGCCAAGGGAGGCTGGCCGTTTAGTACAGTCTGAGTGCCAGATGGTGACTCCTTCCATACCACATCTGAAACACTTCAGCGGCGGTTTAGACGGAGCCACAGATTCAGGTTGTTGCCCTGCTTCTGTTGCAGTGTTCTGTTGCTCCTGTTCCTGCTTTCTTTGGTCTCTGGTCTTATTATACTGACAGTCCTTCAGTACATGAGGACCGGAACAGAGAGCACACTTGGGTGTGGGGCACCAGCAGTACTTAGCTATGTGGCCACTGCCACAGCACTCGTAACACTCCACAGGGTTCGGCTCCCACACCCTGAACGTGCTGGGGGGCGCATACAACCCACCAAACCAATGCTGGTCAGGTGGCCGATCAGGCTTTTTCCAGACTATGACTATTTGATCAGTAGGGTTACCATTCTTGGTCAATCTTCGTTCTCTGTGTACCCCATCTAATTCATAGGCCCACTCTAGTGGATATCCGTGACTGTACCTGTAGACTAGGTATTCATTCATTTTCTTGTTCCGTGTTGGATTATCTATAGGAGAGAGCTTTACATCACCTATTTCCCCTTGTAGAAGAGCCTCCACAACCTGCTACTTCTCTCTTGAAACATACACATATGGGGAGTTGACATGTGGACGTAGCACGCCTGAGGAACCAGGTGGGTACACCACGCTCAGTTTCTTACTCCACACAATCCTGTCCGCCACACTCGTGCCTTTAGGGAAGGTCAGACGTGTGTACTCGCTCCTTGGTGCTATCGGACGCCTTCCACCTTGTTGTTCACCAGGCTTCTGTTTCCCTTGTTTCCTTCTCTGGCTCCCAGTTACCACCTCCACAAACCCATCACTGGGTGGTGGGGTGACAGTGTCACTGGTCACGGTGGGGGAGAACCCTGAGGGTCCAGCAGCCACCTCCTCCATACCTGCTTCTTCAGGCGGCGGTAATTGTTGCTCTGACCTTCTCCGATACCTGGTTATCATTGATAATCATATGATGATGATTAGCACGACAAATGGCAGAGCAGGCACCATGCCTTATCAGTCATCGGCGCCAATAGTCATAAACCTGCACTGAGGGGTAGAGCACTCAGTAGGGCTAAAAGCCGAGGGTTAAGTATGCCAGAGGAGAATGGTCCTTACAGCACAGTATAATAGGGCGTGGACTGCCACCCTGGGTGACCACAGGCCTCTTGAGTAAACAGGTGGTGGGGTAGCCTGCGGTCAGCAGCGATGGCTGCCTCCCCTCACACACACACACAGACACAGTGTGTGTGGCTGCTCCAGATCTCAGTCAATGTTTCAAATAAGGATAGGCTCCTAGAAGGCCAATATACACATATACACATATATATATACATATATATATATATATATATATATATATATATATATATATATATATATATATATATATATATATATATATATATATATACACATATACACACATATTGATTGTGCTCACTCTACTGCTCCTACCTATAGGCTCAGAGCTGCCTAGGAATGCTGGCTCTGAGACTCTTAATTAATCCTATTTAAGAGTTTTGCCACCCTCACACACAAGCTCCGCATTTCTCTAAGAAACTCTATTAAGGCAATGCCGGCAAGATTCACTTCGCTTGTTATTGTGTGAGGGACGCTATGGCGGGGCACAGTGAGTGAGCATTATTAAGAAGAGATCATATTCAATGTCTGAGAGTGCGGCCTGGCTGGTACGACAGAGCGCCTGACCCGCACGTCTGCTCTGCCCAGAGGCTGGGAACAGACTGGTGGTGTGGAGGTCAGTGGATGGTGTGGAGGGCAGTGGATGGTGTGGAGGGCAGTGGATGGTGTGGAGGGCAGTGGATGGTGTGGAGGGCAGTGAGCGGCGTGGAGGTCAGTGGATGGCGTGGAGGTCAGTGGATGGTGTGGAGGGCAGTGAGCGGCGTGGAGGTCAGTGGATGGCATGGAGGGCAGTGGATAAAATTAAAGTTTACTGAAGAAAATATATACACTTGCATAAGGAAATAATATAGGTGGAATGGTCCAATGGCGGCAACACTCCTCCCGCTCAGTCTCTGGCAACACGATCAGCTGGTTGGGTCCAACTGTCAGACGGCGGGACACACCTCGCGCCTCTGGCAACACAATCAGCTGGCTGGGTCCAACTGTCAGACGGCGGGACACACCTCGCGCCTCTGGCAACACAATCAGCTGGCTGAGTCCAACTGTCAGACGGCGGGACACACCTCGCGCCTCTGGCAACACAATCAGCTGGCTGAGTCCAACTGTCAGACGGCGGGACACACCTCGCGCCTCTGGCAACACAATCAGCTGGCTGAGTCCAACTGTCAGACGGCAGGACACACCTCGCGCCTCTGGCAACACAATCAGCTGGCTGAGTCCAACTGTCAGACGGCGGGACACACCTCGCACCTCTGGCAACACGATCAGCTGGGCGATTCAAAGTTCGTTTCTGGCTTCTTGAAAACCAGCCACTACTTGCAGATACACCAACGTCACCACATCTACATATTTATGTTCCACCACCAACTCAGTCAGTTCCCTCACACACAAGTTCCTCAGTCGTCCTTGTATTAGCATATGTGTGTATGTGACAAATGTGTATTATTGATACACATTTGTCTCACTAATTCATTGTAAATATTTACTATCTTATGCTATTATTATCCATGTGTGGGCCTATTGGTGGGTATGAATAGGAGCTGCATCGTATGGGCCAATAGACCTTCTGCAGGACTCGCTGCTGGCGCCATTGCTAGCTGGCCGCACACGGATTTGTTCCCGGAAAAACTCACGATTCTGAGCACCCATCAGCTCCATTCATCGCGGTTTTGTGAGGAAGAATACAGTAGTACTCCAAGACCCAGACAATATCTTGTTTTGAAGGAAACAATTCCGATTTCGTCTACAGTTGAAGGAGAAACAACGTTGTTGTTTACCTGCTGCCCAGCTGACTGGTATTCTGTGCGACCCAGTACGCAGGCGACCCAAACTCTCTTACCGCACTTTTTTTTTTTTAGGACCATATCACTGACCAGGTCACTTAGAGTCCTACCCTGAAGGGCGAGGCGATACCCTGCGGGCAACGGCACAAGGGGGCACCTTAGAAGGTGTACTGAGCCTGACAGGGAAAGGTAGACCAAACAGCTCATTTAGGTGTTAGGTATCCCTGATTCCACCTGGGGGAATCATTCTACGACCTCCGTTGGAGGGGAATGAATTTCTCCAGGCCTAGGAGTGTCTCAGGCAGTAGGTAGGGCAGTGATTCGGTCCTCACTACGTGGAGAGAGTCATGGGGAAGGCTAAGAGTAAGAGGAAATGGAGGCAGCTTTCAGACGAGGAGGGACGGTGGACCGATGTGCAGCAGGCACCGAAGAAAACTGCTATCGAGGCTTCACCACTTGCTTCTACCAGCAAGACAGCAGACATAATGGACCTAGAGAGAACAGCATCAGTCTCACACCAGCCAGTGTCAGACAATGCTTTTCTGTCCACAGCCCAGCCACAGGACAACAGTATGAGACAGGAGAGGACAGCACCAGTCTCACACCAGATGTCGCCAGACTCTGCACATCTTCCAAAATTCAAGATAGTGCAGACAGACCACTTTCCTACAGCATATGGAGTAGTAACGGCAATGGAAAAAGAACTACCATAGCTCAAACTTTCCATCACAGTCAACCTGAAAGGAGAAATAATAATGACACCACAAGACCAACAGACTGCAAATTACTTAGAAAAAGTAAGAGTCTTACAAGGGAAACCTGTATGCTTTGAAAAGCTGAACCCTTCAGAAAGACGCACACGAGTCGTGCTTTTGGGATACCCAATCGACTTTCCCCAGGATCCAGTACTAAACACAAGCAAATCCTGAATGCGGAACGATGCCGCACAAAAGTAGACAAGGCAGCGACACGTCAGGTTCTAGTGACCGTCATGGGACATGTGCCAGAAACATTCAGTCTTGGAAATTGGGGAACATACCGACAGAGGCCATACGTCCCAGAACCCCTGTGCTGCTTCAGGTGTCTGGAATACGGCCACTATCAATCACGTTGCACCGGACAGGAGAGATGCGGAGTGTGCAGCCTGAGGCATCCAACCAAAGACTGTATAGCCAAGCATAAGGCAAACCAGGCCACAACAGCCAAATGTACAAATTGTGGAGGCAAACATCATGCCTGGAGCACAACCTGCTCTGCACGGAAATAAAAAGTGATGACAGCTCAGGCCAGGATAAACACACTGACCAGCACTACATACACCAACACCAACGTCTGGAACACTCGTACACAGCCACAATAGACACACACTCACTCTCACAGAACAAAATTTCCTGAATCTATTAATTCCAAATCAGAAAATACACAAAAGTGCTGCAGAAATACAGCAAATGCAAAAGAGCAAAAACCAATCACTTTCGGAATCAACACAACAGATGTACAGTTTTACCCCCGAGGTCCAGCTGAAAAACATCGTGAAGATCATGGCAGAGACCATTATCAATTGCCTACAGGTGACGCAGAACGCCTCTCAGCAACAGACTCAAGGAATCACTTGTGTGATAATGGACAAGATCGTGCAGCAGACCACAGTTACACAAGAAATAGACAGTCTGAGACAAGACGGAGCACAAGAGGACAAACAACGCAACATGGACATACAGACTACCAACAACAGTCAGGTAGTCAAGACACCAGAACATCAACATTTACAACAGCAACTGCAAGAAGCAGTGACCACCCAAGATCAACAGAATCTTACAACACAAGAGACAGACAACAACAGTCAATGCAGTCTGATATGCAATAACACCAACAAAGACGTATTGAACACGGCATATACGGCACGCATAGACGCAATAAAGCACCTAAATTATTGGGATCGTCTCAAAGCCCTCCAAATGTACTCACTAGAAAGAAGACGAGAGAGATATCAAATAATATACACCTGGAAGATACTGGAGGGCCAAGTACCAAATCTACACAGTAAAATAACAACGTACTGGAGTGAACGACATGGAAGAAAATGTAGAATAGAACCAATGAAGAGCAGAGGTGCCATAGGCACAATCAGAGAACACTGTATAAACATCAGAGGTCCGCGGTTGTTCAACGTCCTCCCAGCAAGCATAAGAAATATTGCCGGAACAACCGTGGACATTTTCAAGAGGAAACTAGATTTATTCCTCCAAGGAGTGCCAGACCAACCGGGCTGTGGTGGGTATGTGGGCCTGCGGGCCGCTCCAAGCAACAGCCTGGTGGACCAAACTCTCACAAGTCAAGCCTGGCCTCGGGCCGGGCTTGGGGAGTAGAAGAACTCCCAGAACCCCATCAACCAGGTATCAACCAGGTATCAACCAGGAACAGCAGAGATGCACAGGTTCCAACTACACAAGAAACAGCCACGAACAATCAATGCAGTCCGACATGCAGCAGTACCAACAAGAACAAAGCGATGGACCACAGTTATGCACAGAATCCAACAATGCAAGGAATGACAATGAGCAATCAATGCAGTCCGATTTGCAGCGACACGACTTGCGAGGTGGAGAATATAGAGGTCGAGTCCGAAGAGGAGTACTACTAAAACAGACAACACCAACCGAAACCGTCGTCTAGCCATTACGAATACTGCAGTGGAACATACAAGGTCTTTGAAATATTAACCACATACTTCAGGAGGCTGCAATCAGCACGAAAGCAGATATAATCGTTTTGGAAGAAACTTTTCCCAGTCACGAAGTCCTTCAGATTAGCTGGATATCAGCACTATATTATACCGTATGAGCAGGGAAGACAAAGAGGGTTAATGACCCTAGTCAGGAACACCATACCCAGCAAGAAAATAGGCCCAGTTTCATGTGGGGATGGAGTAGAGGTATTAGCAGTAACAGTGAATATGGCATATATTGAGCTCCTCATATACAACGTTTACAAGCCCCCTAGACGTAAACTAGAAGCAGAGGCAGTGCTTGCCTTGGCCACGCAGGAAAATGTAATTATTGCTGAGGATTTTAATGCTCATCATCAAGAGTTAGGTGCGACTGGGCCAGCCAATGCAGATGGGCGCCATTTAGCTGCAGCTCTGCGAGAAGTACCTGAAATTACACTTCTCAACACTGGGGAACCCACTCACATTCTAGGAGG